ACGTCGTTTCAACGTCGATTGTCGACGTTGTTTCAACGTCTTTTGCTCGCTGGGAGCTAGTTTGTGACATGTAAACACGATAGAAGCAATAGTTGATACTTGCAATTAAAATGCGCAAAAATGATATTTTTAGAGATCAAAAATAGGAAAAGTTCTTACCGTGGGAGGGGGAGACGCCTCCCACCTCGGTCGCTTCGCTCCCTCGCACACTCTTGAACCACGTCTGTCCCCCCCACTTTTTAAACTGGATTTGCGCCCCTGATTTCAACTAAGTTCCTCGTTGTGATTGTTATGTCATGATACATTGTGATGTCATGATACATTGTGATGTCATGATACATTGTGATGTCCATGATACATTGTTATGTCATGATACATTGTTATGGCATGATACATTGTTATGTCATGATACATTGTGATGTCTGTGCCCGCGCATGCAGATAAAATCTTTACGCCAAGATAGCGGATGTAAGGTTGACTGATAGTGGCTTTATTCTTTACACGAATGAGTGGAATACCTTCGGTGAACTAAAAGGAATACAAACATATAATATAACAAAAATATAACAAACTAAACAATTTGACATGACCTTGCAGCTAACTACTGTTTAGCCTATAGTTGCCGTAACATAACCAATGAGAATTTCAAACATGACAAAACTTACAAATCATTCACGCCACGTAGCGTGCATGCGTAACCGGACTGGCAGTGTGACGAAGTACATCCTTAGAAAAGTAACATAAACTCCAAATAATATAGCAGCAACTAAACAAAGTGGCGCCTGAGGGTTAAGCTGGATATAAAGCAAACACAACAACCAACCACGCCATCCTTCCACAATATCGCTACCCTCCCTCACACACGAGTCAACATACAAGTGCTTCCAAAAATGAAGTCACGTGACAGCGCGGAAAAACCCAACAAACTGTAACCACCGCCAGTTATCCCTACAGTGGAGATAACACCGCCACCCTTTGAATTAACTAAATTCAACAATCACGACGCGACCATTCTAATCAATTTGAAACACCTTCTAACAGAACTACTTTAGTTATAGGTCGAACTAACTGCGCTGTTCTAGTCCTCAGTTTAACCGACCTCACCAAACCGTCTCTGCCCTTGATGGCCTCGGTAATTAATCTCTCTTTCTCTGTTAGAAAGCTATATTATGCAGTGTTTTCAGTCCATACTGCACGTCTGAAACGGTGATCGCGCATGCGCAATATCTCCCAAGAAGAAGAATATTTTGCAAAGATTATGCATTTAGAATAGGGAGAAGGTATTCTAGCATAGATTTATATGATAATATTTTATCAGTATACCTTTCTTGAGAAATAGGAAGAAGACCTCGCATGTAAGGTGCCCGCTGCATATACCAGTCAGTACATAATTTGGCTACGTTAGTGTGTTAGCGCATGCGCAATATCTCACCAGAAATGTTATATTTCGTGATGGATATGCATTTTAAATGGTTAGGGGATATCTCAGCATAGATTTATGAAATAAATCGTTATCAGTAGACCTGTGTTTATAATTGGGAGAGCGCCCTAGCCTGTGGGGAGCAAAACTACTAATTCATCCCCTCCTGTCCTTTCCTTGCCTCGCCCTCTGTCCCTCGCACATTGATATTTTTTTTATACCGCCCTCAGCTTTCTTCCCTGCCGCCTTTCCTCAGTATCCCAACCTTCCTTCTCTTATAGCATCTATATTATGCAGTGTTATTCAGTCCATACTGCACGTCTGAAACAGTGCTCGCGCATGCGCAATATCGCACAAGAAGAATAATATTTTGCAAAGATTATGCATTTAGAATAGTGAAGAGGTATTCTAGCATAGATTTATATAATAATATTTCATCAGTATACCACTTTTGAGATATAGGAAGAAGACCTCACATGTAAGGTGCCCGCTTCATATACCAGTCAGTACACAATTTTGCTACGTTAGTGTGTTAGCGCATGCGCAATATTTCACCAGAGGAGTTATATTTTGTGATGGATATTCATTTAAAATGGTTAGGGGATATCTCAGCATAGATTTATGAAATAAATTGTTATCAGTAGACCTGTGTTTATGATTGGGAGATCGCCCTAGCCTAAGGGAAGAAAAACTACTAACTCATCCCCTTCTGTCCTTCCCTTGCCCCCCCCCCCTCTGTCGTCCCTCGCTAAGCCTCATTCTTTTTTTACCGCCCTCACCTTTCTTCCCTGCCACCTTTCCTCAGTCTCCCAACGCTCCTTCTCTTATAGCAAGTTATATTAGGCATGCGTTCTTTAGTCCATACTGCACGTCTGAAACGGTGCTCGCGTATGCGCAATATCTCCCGAGAAGCATACGATTTTTCAAGGATTATGCATTTAGAATAGGGAGGAGGTATTCTAGCATAGATTTATATGATAATATTTCATCTGTATACCTTTCTTGAAAAATAGGAAGAAGACCTCGCATGTAAGGTGCCCGCGGCATATACCAGTCAGTACACAATTTTGCTACGTTAGTGTGCTAGCGCATGCGCAATATCTCACCAGAGGAGTTATATTTTGTGATGGATATGCATTTAAAATGGTTCGGGGATATCTCAGCATAAATTTATGAAATAAATTGTTATCAGTAGACCTGTGTTTATGATTGTCAGAGCGCCCTAGCCTGTGGGAAGCAAAACTACTAATTCATTCCCTTTTGTCATTCCCTTGACTCCCTCTCTGTCCCTCGCCCAGCCTCATTTTTTTTAAACCGCCCTTAGCTTTCTTCCCTGCGGCGTTTCCTCAGTCTCCCAACCCTCTTTCTCTCATAGCATCTATATTATGCAGTGTTATTTAGTCTATAATGTACGCCTGAAACGGTGCTCGCGCATACGCAATAGCTCCCGAGAATAATAATATTTTGCAAAAATTATGCATTTAGAATAGGGAGGAGGTATTCTAGCATAGATTTATATGATAATATTTCATCAGTATAAGTTTCTTGAGAAATAGGAAGAAGACCTCGCATGTAAGGTGCCCGCTGCATATACCAGTTAGTACACAATTTGGCTAAGTTAGTGTGTTAGCGCGTGCGCAAGATCTTACCAGAGGAGTTATATTTTGTGATTGATATGCATTTAAAATAATTAAGGGATATTTCAGCATAGATTTATGAAATATACTGTTATCAGTAGACCTGTGTTTATGATTGGGAGAGCGCTCTAGTCTGTGGGAAGCAAAACTACTAACTCATCCCCTCCTGTCCTTCCCTTGCCCCACCGTCTGTCTCTCGCTCAGCCTCATTCTTTTTTACCGCCCTCAGTTTTTTCCCTGCCACCTTTCCTCAGTCTCTCAACGGTCCTTCTCTCATAGCAAGCTATATTATGCAGTGTTCTTCAGTCCATTCTGCACGCCTGAAACGGTGCTCGCGCATGCGCAATATCTCACAAAAAAGAATAATTTGCAAAGATTATGCATTTAGAATAGGGAGGAGGTATTCTAGCATAGATTTATATGATAATATTTTATCAGTATACCTCTCTTAAAAAATAGGAAGAAGACCTCGCATGTAAGGTGCCCGCTGCATAGACCAGTCAGTACACAATTTAGCTACGTTAGTGTGTTAGCGCATGCAGAAGATCTCACCAGAGAAGTTATATTTTGTGATGGATATGCATTTAAAATGGTTAGGGGATATCTCAGCATAGATTTATGAAATAAACTGTTATCAGTATATCTGTGTTTATGATTGGCAGAGCGCCCTAGCCTGTAGGTAGCAAAACTACTAATTCACCCCTCCTGTCCTTCCCTTGACTCCCTCTCTGTCTCTCGCTCAGCCTCATTCTCTTTTACCGCCCTTAGCTTTCTACCCTGCCTCCTTTCCTCAGTCTCCCAACTCTCTTTCTCTGTTAGCAAGCTATATTATGCAGTGTTCT